TAATTAAAAAAGGTAAGAATATGAACATGTAGTGTATATAAATATATGAGTATGAGTATATGGTATTAGCGCACCCGGGGTTGTCAGGCGACACATATTCGTTGGACATATGCAGCTCCATGCTGTAGAATTTGTTGTGGTTGTCCTTGATGTCCATGCACTACACGCCAACGCCGACATGTCAGCTCAAACTCCAACGAAAGTCGATTGGCGTCGATCGGGCGCGATGAGAAAAGAGAGGCGCCTGCTGACGTACGTGGAGGACGTCCATCCGGAGGAGGTCGTAGTTGGACGCCGGGAAATAGGGCTCCACCTTGCCCCCATAGCTCCACACCGACGCCTGGGGAATCTCTGCGATGATGGTGTGGATCATAAATAAGCACCGGTGCGAACCCCACCCAACTCCCGGTGAGCCAGTGCGTACTCTTTCGCTCCGTGGTCACCGACGTTTGGTCTTCTTCTCCTTCTGTTGCGTCCTGCGCCTGTGTGTCGTGTCGTGTCGTGTCGTGTCGTGTCGTGTCGTGTCGTGTCGTGTCGTGTCGTGTCGTGTCGTGTCGTGTCGTGTCGTGTGCGCATTCTTAGAATCCCACTCTTTGGAATGCGTAACATTCCACTGCAGTGTGCATACCTTGGAGGCGCCGAGCCGTAGCTGGGCGAGAAGGTCGAAGGCCGGGTACTCCTTGACGCGGACGCCCTGGCGCAGGCACTCGTCGATCCACTCGCCGGCGATCACGTGGAAGACATCGTCGCCGCCGGCCCGCGCCGCCAGCTTCTTGCCCTCCTCGACGTACTTGCGGGCCTGGCGGATCTTACCCGAGAGGTTGTCGGCCACCTCCTTCGGCGTGGCTACCAGGTGCGTGCAGCGGTCGTTGAGCATGTAGCTGATCGTGCCGCCGTGCCGCTTGATCTGGTCGGTCAGCTCGGACTTGCGCTTGAACGCAAAGTGCTCCGAGAACGAGAAGACCAGGCCGGCAAACAGGTCCGACGGGGCTGACGATGATGATGACGACGACGAAGAGAACGATGACGATGATGATAAAGAAGAAGACGAGTCCTCTTGGTCGAACCACTTGAAGGAAGTTGAAGACGATGATGATGAAGATGAAGATGATGATGATGAATATTTGCTGGCTTGGTTGGCCTTGAGCTCCTTCATGACGGCCTTGACTCTCGGCCCATTCTCGGAGGACTTGGCCCACTGTTCCACCTTCTTGGTCACCGCTCTGTCCACCGTCTCCCTGCCCAGTCGACCATAATACGTTCGCCGTCCTGGTTACTCGCGCGACCGCACAGCACACGACACACACGCGGCACATGCATGAGCTTACCAACGCAGGGGCCTGGAGGCGGATTCGAACTCGGCCTGGGCTTCCTTGCGCACGTCCTTGACCATCCACTGCGCAATGGCCTCGATCGTGGTGTGCTGCCGCCCGTCTGTCGATTCGCCAAAGTACGTCAAATAATTAAATAATTAAAAATAAATGAATAAAAATAAATAAACACGTGTTAAAAACTAAATGAAGAACAAAGGGAGAGTACCTCCACTCTGGCTTGAGACTTCCTGCAGGGCTTGCTCGTATCGAGCCTCGCTCAGGAAGAGCTCGGCGAGCTCCTCCTCCGAGTCAACCACGTCAACATGAATGCTGACCGCCTTGTCGAAGGAGAACAGTCAATGATGATCGTGATGATGATTGTGATGTTGATTGCATACCTCGTTGGTTGTGGCGTTACCTCCGGCGTCTTTCTTCTTCACCATCTGGTGCGTCTTGCCCTTGGTCTTGAAGGCGTAGGCCGAGAAGATCTCCACGCTCAGCACGTCCTTGAAGGAGCCCACCTTCCTATCGGCCAGATCGACCGGATACCACACCACACCTTGCATGACACACACCGCGTGAGTGTGTGTCGTGTGTGTCGTGTGTGTCGTGTGTGTCGTGTGTGTCGTGTGTGTCGTGTGTGTCGTGTGTGTCGTGTGTGTCGTGTGTGTCGTGTGTGTCGTGTGTGTCGTGTGTGTCGTGTCGTGTGAGAGTGTACCTTCACCGGGTCCTCGGATGTTGAACTCCTGGAAGACCCAAGGGTCGAACCTGTCCACCTCGGCCACGATGGCGTTGATCTTGGGCAGTTGGCCCTGCACCGGCGGGTACACACAAGGGGGGGCTGCTGTGTGAACGGTCCGTCAGTTGCATGCGGGAGAGACCTCCAGGGTACCTCAAGCAGCTGCTCGTCGCCCAGGTGGAGGCGCATGTGGTCGAATCCCCACGGGATGACGTGCATGCCGTCGGGCAGGCTATAGGCTGCGCCGATCATTCAGTAAGTTTAGCCTACGGCGCAGACGACACACGCCGCACGTGACACACATGACACACATGACACACGACACGACACACACTCACGCGATATGTGACACACGCACGACACGAAACAGTACCACCAAGGAGAGTCTTGATGTCATCGGGCTCAATCATCAGGTAGTTGTCGATGTACAGCGAGAACACGGCAAAAATGCACTTGTCCAGCTTACCGATCGCCACCTCACTCTGTGACGACACGACACGACACGACACACACCCAACAACACGACACACGACACGCACGACACGCACGAATAGGGTCAGCATTCGTACGCTATGGTAGTGTTGAGAGAGACGGAGACGTTACTCCTTTCTGCACGCCGGGTCCGCACCACTCGCCGAAGACGGAGAGCGACGTGGCCGACGCCCCAAAGTCGCGCCGCAGGTAGGACTGCGCGCGAGGCCACAGCGATGCGAAGTAGCCGGCGTTGTCTTTGGCCCACTTGGCCAGGCCCTTGTTCTCCTCGTCGATGAACCTGGACGACGGGCCAACTCACATCTCAGTGCGAGCCGTGTAGCGAGTAGAAACAAAAAACGCGTGAAGAAGAAGAAGTGGCGGAACGGACCTGTTACGACTCTGCACGCGCACGGTGGAGTCCGCAGAGATGGTGATGGCACCATTGCAGCCATGGAGTTTATTTTGCCCTTGTAGCCCACCTGTCCCCTCTGAAATTATATTAATTTAATTTAAAAAATAGAAATAAACAGATCCACACGCAAGTAAAGCGAGGAATTAGGATGAGAGGGAGAGAGAGGGGGGGGGAAGGTGTACAGACGCTGGAGCACTGCCGCGACTCAAGTTTCGAAGGACATGGTGCAGGCCCTCGATATCTGGCCAATACACGAAAGCTTCCGTCATATCGCCTACTTGGTGCAGTGGTGGTGTAAAATGACTATTTTTATTAGTTTATTTTTTTAAATACAAAAAAGCGCTTCCCCGAAGTCTGCGCAGTAACGTCGGGCACGGGTGCGTTCTGTTCATTTTCGCATAGTCAGTTTTGCATTTTGAAATCATTTCGAAATTCAAAATTCGCAAACAAAGCAACAAACGAACGAGTGTTCTTTGGTCTTCTTGTTTTGTTGAGTGGTGGATAGTACAAAGCCGAGATTCGGGGCGAGGTCAAGCACAGTGCAGGATATGGGTATCTACATGTGAGTAGTGGAAGAGAGCTGAGGGCCGAGGCGAAGGGAACTCAGTTGAGAAGGAAGTGGACGCTTGCTCGAGCAAGCGGCGGAGAATCAGGCTGGCTCTGTGGAGAAGTGGCGCCGGTGGACAGAAGGGGCGATGCCTCGGCGATCGGTGATGAGGCGGCGGCAGGCGACGAGGACCGTCGCGCTCGGTCGAGCTTGACCTGTCGCGCGTATCGGATTCCACACGCGTTGCACAGCCTGCTCGTTCAGAACGTAACAGGGAGTTAGTCGGCAGGCTTTATAAAAGTGGCCAACCACAACGTTCCAGAATGAAAAAGGAAATTGGAAATGCAAAAAGGGAAAAGGCTCGGCAAAAAGCGAAAACGAACGCGAGAAAAAGCGAACAAGGAAACCTCGAAAGAGGACTGAGCGCTCAGGTTGAGGGGCTGCGTAACGTACGTGGAGGGACCGGAGGGACCAGTACGCCATTGGCTGGTGAAGCGGGTCTCGCAGTGATGGCACGCCCTGTCTGTAAACATGCGCTTGGTTCGTCGCCTCTGCGGCGATGCTGGTCGTGGTGCCGTTGTTGGTGGGCTGTCGCTGCAGGGCGCAATGTGACGGTTGATAGGCTGGGTCATCAGCGACTGCTGTAGATGGAGGTGATGCTGAGGTTGTTGTTGTTGTTGTTGATGATGACGTTGGGGTGGCTGAGGAATGAAGACCATCGGCCCGTGCAGCTGGTACACCTTCTGCCGAAGCAGGTGCATGTGGGTGTCCAGAAGGCCCTCTTCGCTCTTCGACAGGCCGCCTTGACTATTCATCTTGTTGCTCAGCCGACGCACCCCGTTGGCAAACAAAGACACCTGACAAACAAACAAGTGCAGTGGCCGAGTTGATTATTTGGTGTCACCATTTGGAAGGTGAATGTGGTGAAGGCGATGATGTACCTGCTCGAGCAGCTGGGCGCGTTGGTCGGGCGGGGTGAAGGTGGTGGTGGGTCGAGCTGTGTTCATCGTCCGCTTGCTGGTGGTGCAGGTGGTCGTGTCGAGCAACTTCGTGAGGTGGCGCTAGCGGTGTGGTCTCTGCTCTGGTTAGAAACTGGCAGACAGCACTTGGCGCTGAGCTTAAAAACCTTGTGGCATGGTCTGCCATTCGGCCCCCACGCGCCACTTCAGATCGCTCGAGCAGGGCGACGGAACTGGGGGTAGCTGGCTGAGATGGTGCGGACTGTCCGTTGAGGCAACGGCCAATCGATGGCGCAGGCTGGAATTGGTCGCGCGCAAACAGGACCCCTAAAGGGGTAAGAGGAACACCCCGCCCCCGCCGCAACCTCTGGCCATGAACTGTGACAGTGGCGACAGCAGCCATCAAGCAGGCCTGATGGAGATGCCGCAGAGTTGCAGCCGACTCGCATCACCTCACAATGTGAGCGCACCAGGTGTCATCATACCTTTCGGGTCCCCGCATTCTAGTCAGGCCCGCGGGGCACCGCGCAGCCCCAGGGTCACCTTTTCGGCCGTGGCTGCCTCGCACCAAACAATGCCAAGCAGTTATTTCTACCACTCAGAACGAATCTAAGATCAATCCTTCAAATATCCGCGAATTTCTTGGTTCCCTGACATAGCTGACATACTGGTGATGGCGGCCCTCCATTACCCACGTCGTGTTCCTTAGGACCTTCCTATTTGGGGTCTGACGTGCAACCCATGTGCGACGGTTGGTCAACTTGCGCTCATGAGCTACACACGTGTTGGTTGTTGTTCGCTTCAGAGTGAGTGGTTGTCCGTCTCTCGCTCTTCCTCTTCGATGGTCGCTGATTCTTCTTCACCGCCATCGTCATCTTGTTGCTCTCCCCCGTGATTCTGACCGTCGTTGTCTCCTTTATCATCGTCGTTGTCCTCATTAACGTCCTCGTTCTCCTCGTCCTCCTCCTTTTCATCAACGTTCACGTTGTCCCCGGCGTCAGCCATCACCTCTCCTCGCTCAACGTTGCTTTGATCTTCATCTTCTGCGTTGGTCTCGCTCACCTCTCCCCTCTCCTCTTCTTCCGCCCTCTGGGCACCACTGCCCTCGGCGTCGGCGTCGTCAGCGGCAGCGTCGGCGGAGACCTGGTCGCCGGCGTTGTCGTCGTTCTGGTGGAAGTACTCGGCCATGAGGGAGCCCAGCGCATTGGCGCCCTCCATGGTGCGCTGGAGGTTGACCTCGAACTCGGCCAGCCGTGCTTCTTCCTCGTCGTCGCGCTCGGCCTCGGCCTCGTCCCACCGCGCCCGCATCCGCTCGAGCTCGCCGGCCAGCGCCACCACCTCGGCCTCAACCCTCTTCACCCGCTCCTCCCGCTCCTCCTCCTTGCCGTCGTAGTCGTCGGCGTGTTGTACCTTTTCCTTTTCCTTTTCTTTCTCGTTTCCTTCTTGACGTTGTCGGCCACGACGTGGTGGACGCTGGACCGCAGCTCGGCGAGCTCGCGCATGAACTGCTCGCTCTGCCGGGCCGCGGCCTCGTCGATCAGCCGCCGGTGCTCGGCGAGCGCGTCGAGCGTACGGGCCTCGGCGGCCTTGACCTCGTGCTCGAGCTTGGCCTCGAAGTAGGCCACCACCTCCTCGGTGCGGCTGTCGGTGACGGCCCGCTGCCGCTCGATCTCGCGCTCCTGCTCGACGACGCGCCGCTCGACTTCGCGCAGCCGCAGGTCGAACCGCTTGAGCTTCTTCTCGAACGAGGCGGCGTAGTAGGAGGTGAGAATGACGTCGTTCTCGTTGAGCTCCTTGTCGTCGTCAACCAGAATGCGGGCCTCCTTGAGCAGGCGCGTGACGTCACCATCGGTCAGCGGGTCGTCATCGGCGTCGTCGGGGGTCGGCTGGAAGCCCACGATGTTGAGCCCGGCCGTGAATGTGTCCCACAGGTGCCGCCGCGTGTGGGTGGCCAGCGCGCGCGTGCGGCGGGTCTCGTCGAGCAGGAAGCGGCGCGAGTCGGTCGACACCTTGTCGAGCTGCATTGCCAGCTCGTCGCGCATGCCCTGCAGATCGGCCATGGAATCCATGGCCGCCGACACACCGCCGTCGTCCAGTTCCGTGGCCGGCTCGATGTTGGAGAAGCTCTCACCGCCGTTGTCATAATTGGTTGTCGTGCCGTTGCTGGCGTAGAAATCTTCAGCGCTGTCGGTGGCATTCTGGTGGTCGTCGTCGTTCTCACGTTTTCGTCGAGCGACAGCGACGCTGTCGTGGCCACTGTTATTGTGAGTGGTGGTCGCGAGGGTGTGCGACGAGTCGTCGAGGTGCGGGATGGACGAGGGGAGGGAGAAGGAGTCGATGGGCGGTAGCGAGATGTCCAGCCCGGCCGACGCGCCGTGCATCTCCATCTCCAGCGGCTCCGGGAGCGACAAATCTATACATACGCGTAGTCAGTCAAACAACGTCGTGCAAGTGTGGCGTGCGGTGTCGTACCGACGTAGAGGAACCAGAGGTCGTCGCGATAGACCGAGGCGTCGCCAACGCCACCAAAAATGAACATCTTGTCACTACCGAAGACCTCGCCGCTGTGACCATAGCGTCCTGTGACGATCGATCACCGAAGAAGTAAAGTTAATAATCACAATAAGAATCACAATAAATAATAAATAATAAATAAATGAGAAACATGTTACGCATAACATAGCGTACCGGCAGGTCCCACCACGTTCTCCATGATGGACACCTTATCTGTCGACCGCGAGGAATTCAACTTCGTCCAGGTCGCACTCCCTGCAGGACACGCACAACGAGCCTGTGTCAAAGTCGGGCCACACACAAAAACAGCGTCAGGGCGGGGAAGTACCGGGAGAGAATTGCCACAGGTCGCCCATGGAAGCGGCGCCCTGGCCGCCGAACACCAGCAGCTTGAAGCGCATGGCCACGGCGGAGTGGTAGGCCCTACGCGCCGGCACCTCCCCTACAACCTCGAACGGCGACCACTGAAGCGTGACTGGAATTCCGGTCATCAGCGTGCGTGTGTCGTGTGTGTGTGTGTGTGTGCGACACAGAGTATCAGCCCTAATGCTGGAAACCACAGACACGCGAAAGGGGTGTCGTACAGGGGTCGAGTTGCCAGATGTCGTTGAGGCGTCCGCCAGGGCCATAGCCACCGAAGACAAGGATCTTGGATGACGACACCGTCGTCATTGTGTGGCCATGCCGTGGCGATGGCTTGGGCTCAGTCTGTGGATGAATTCACAACGAAAAGTGAGTGGAACCAAACGACGACGAGGTTCCATCAGAAGAACACAAAGGTATGCATACACTTATGCGAGTCCAACTGTAGTTGGTCGTGTCGAAGCACCACAGGTCATGAAAGCACTCGGATCTGAGAAAAAGGAAGCTTTAGCCGCGAACTCTTTCAAAGAGCGGCCGCGCGAGAATGTAAGGTGGTGCGAGTGTTCGCCGTACGAGCGGTCAGCGCCACCGAACAGCAGAATCGAAGTGCCAAAGGCCACTGCCGTGTGGCCGTAGCGGGGAGAGGGCAAGCTGCCCGCTGTGATGATCTCTTCCCACTTCTTCAAGCCTGCACGAGGAATTCCTTTCTCAGCGCTGGGAACAAGCAACACACACATACACCACTGCACAACAGCGCAGGCAGGAGATGCGTGCATACCGAGATCGAAGACCCAGAGGTCGTTCACGCATTTGTGGTTTTCTGTCTCGCCACTGCCAACGACAATAATGTTAACACGGTTCGCGGCGCATGTAACCAGACCACCAGCAACATCGACGCGTCGTGCGTAGCATTACCCAAACAACCACATCTTGTCTCCTATGATGACGGACGCATGGCCGGTGCGCTGACCGGGATGCTTGCCACCGTGGGCGCTCGTCGGCGTCTGAAAGCGCGACCATCGCACAGAGACTGCAGGAACAGGTGCGTGTACGCGCAGTGTCGGCCAAATGGTAAGTTTCTGTCAGCCAATGCCAAATATGCGGCATTTTACTGTCACATGGCCATCTTGTTTTTGTTTTTTGTTTTTACCTGTATCAAGCACCCACATGTCTGACAGGGGCCGACCTCTGTAGCCGCCGTAGACGATCATGAAGTTGTCATATCTCACGCACGAGTGCCCTCTGAGGCGTAGAGATAACCCGCCAAGCTGGAGATGAGCAATCATGCGACATCAAGTTCGCATGTTCGATGCCTGATGCCCATGGCAAACATGGCCGGGTGTTACCTGCGTGACTGGGGCCGCATCTGGCCCTGCAGGGCGTTGTTCCATCCGAAGAGGTCTGCACGGGTTGGAGCAACGGTCAGGTGTGTCAAGTTCGCGAGCCGGACATCAGCTTTCTCCTCGTCTCGGTCATCATTGCAGCAGCCCAAACAGACGCTGGCTCGGGTCCCAGTACACCCGCGTGACTCTTGCACTGAGACCACACCGGCATTGCCGAGCATAGCCGTGTGTGGCTGTTACGTACATTTTTTGGAAGAGGAGGAAGAAGAAGGCGAGACTAACGACGGGACTGTTGCTGGCGACCTGTCACACATGCATGGTCAGCTGAAGGTAAAATCAAGATCAATGTTACACTGAATTCTGAAGAGCCAGTTTGAGTGAGAGGTGGGTACCGTGAGGGAGTGAGCTTGTGTTGTCCTGATTTTTGAATTTGAGGGGGCGTCCTCGAAGAGGGCTTGAGCGATTGAGAATGTGTCGATGTCTGGAGATTTTTAGCGCCATATGAGGCAGCAGCGGTGGGCGATACGGAGGAGGCAGGCGAACGACGCCCCGTCGCAGCTGGCGGCGCAAGGGCGCCTCCCTTCTTCGCTGCAGATGAGCTCGTAGCGGTGGGTGTGCTGCGGCCGCCACCAGCCGCAGTGGGGCTGGTTCGGCTGCTCACTCGACCCTTCAAGCCTTGCTGTTGTTGTGGCGAGGGCGTCCGCACGACGTTCCTCACCCCTCGCCCACTTGATGAGGTGTCCATCCTTTGGATTGTGTAAATTGAGGGAAAAACAGACAAAAGATTCAAATAAATCCAAAAATATAACAAATAAAAGAAAATGAACATTTTCACTCTTGCGTGTTGTGTGTCTCCCGCTTCAGTCCACTTTGATTGCCTTGGCTGTGGACGAAGCAGCGGTTTCGGGCGTCGGGAGCGTAGGAGTAGTCTGGGCCTGGGCCTTCTTGGTCTTTTGCTTCTCCTCTTGTGTCATGAGGTCGTCCAAGACTGAGGCCGAGGTCAGACAGTCTCGCACCAGCCAGCCCTGCCAGCAGAGAATTACGGCCCACCCCACACAGTCAGAATCACAAAGCTATGATGGCGGTGCCAAGAGCCAAAGAAAATGGGGTACCTGGAAGAGGAAGAAGATGAGGGTCATGGCGTAGAAGAAGTTGGCGTTGCCGGTTCCCTGGTTGATCCACAGATGCCACATGATGGGTCCCACCACGTTGAGGTACACGAAGCCGAGGCAGATGAAGACGCTGCGCTTGTTTTCTGTAAGGTGTGAATGAATGAATGAATGAATGCTTGCGAAGGAGTGGGGCGGCGTCGAGGTGAGTGGCGACGTACGCGCGAGGTTTAGGACGTGGAAGAGGGGCAGAAGGCTGATGTAGGGGGCCATGTCACCGATGCAAGGATAGGACTTGAGCATGCCGATGAGGCCCATGAAGATCCAAAACAGGAAAACCCCGTGGCGTCTGTCATAAACAAAAAGGTTTCAAAAATGTGAGTTATGCACGTGTGCGTGTGCGGCGATGCGTGTGCGGTGGTGCGTATGAAGAGTGTGGGGGGGGACCTGAATCTGACGGTGAGCGGCAGTACGTAGATGACCGGGTGGTACTGGAAGACGAAGATGAAGAACGGGCGGAAGTGCATGAACGCCTCGGTGAAGTAGTACCAAAAGAGGCCGATGTTGGGCGTCAGGTCCGGCGCGAAGAAGATGAACCCGTACACCTGCAGACGAGCCAAAGCCACGAACGCAACAGTTGATTTTTTTAAAAGAATAAAAATATTAATTGAGATTAAAAACTGGCACTGAGTACCTCCTTGAGCCAGCCCCACGAACCCAGCTGGAGGAACGAGAGATAGAACAGGGCGGAGAGCCACACGGCATAGCACGCCACAACCGCGAATCCCACCACCCACGCACTCTGCACAGCTCATCCCATGTTATCACGTGTGCGTGTGCGATTGCGTGCGTTTGCACGTGTGTGCGGACGAGTATGTGCAGTGGTGCGTGCGTGCGTGCGTGTGCGGTGGTGCGTGTGCGTGCGTGCGTGAAGTGGAGGGTCCATGCCTTGGGTCTGCTACGTTGCTTGTAGTAGGTGTGGAAGATGGCGACGAGCGGGAAGATCAGCAGAGCCGGATACAGCGACAGGTACGTGCCCAGCGCCAGGCACAGCGTCGCCAGCCAAACATTCCCTGCATTTCACAAGCCTAGCCGTTAGTCCCCCGCAAGGGCAAAGGGCGCGCGCGTGCGGGAGCGGAACCCTTGACGGCGGCGTAGAGGCATAGAACGACGGCGAGATTGTTGAACACGATGGTGGACTGGGCCACGCAGGTGAGAATCGTCCACGGGTTGGTCAGATACACGCAGAACACGATCTCGCCCGTCAGCGGCGGCGACGTTGACGAATTGAAGTTGGCCGCGACCACCGACGCCGATGGAGATGATGTCGTGGGCGACGATGAAGAAGACGTAGACGAAGACGACGGCGATGAAGGTGAGGGTGCGTTTGAGGAGGAGGCGGAGGAGGAGGCGGTGAAGGTGGGGTGGGCGAGGTAGTTCTGGGAGAGGAACATGAGGAGGAAGGCGATGAAGAAGTCGGTGAAGATGAAGAGGGCCGGCGTGGCGTAGTGCGAGATGGTAGGCAGGTAGGCCGCGGCGGCGGTGAGCGCCTCGCCGCTGGGCTGCGGCATCGACGAGGAGAAGAAGAACGAGAAGAACCACAGCAACAGCGGTGCCTGGTGGTAGGCATCGCCGGCGTAGGGTGACAGCCCCGACTCCACCAAGTAGAGGCCCTCTTTCACTGCACCCGTGTGAAATCCAATCAATCAATCAAAATAAATAAATATAAATAACAATATAAAATAAAAAAGCTTTTAGCTCAAAAAAATAACACAAAAAAGAAAAATAAAGCGTTCAGGTAGCGAATTTGATGAGGATTTGACTTGGAGGGGGGGGGGCACGAACGTCTGTTGTAGGAGGTGACAGGGGTGACAAGCTCGATGCGAGTGGAGAGGAGCTCTGGCAGACCCTCCCAGGCGAAGAGCAGGCAGCGCACGCCCAGCGCAAAGGCCGAGCCCCACACCACCACGTTGAGGCCCCTTCGTCCCATCCTGCGCACACAGATCTCCTTCCTTCTTTCGTTCTTCAAACTGTTTACGAAACCCTTTTTCGTCATTAATGTTTTTTAAATTAGTCGCTTTTATTGTCATAAGGGCACTCCTAAGGCCCACAGCGACCCACGAGGCCCTCCCTCACAGCTGTTGACGTCTGAGAAAGGTGATGAAAGAGAAGGAGTGCATTCAAAGGGAGAAGGTGTGAGCGAGCGAACCACAATAGTTGGCGGCGCGAAGGAAATAAAACGCCGGCGAGCGACCAAGTCAAGTTATCGAAAGTTACATCTGTTCAATTTCTCCTTGCCGAGGGTTCATCCCCAGGAAGCGCGGATGATTCGGGACAGTATACCATCATGCTCTTCTCAAGATCCGTGTGCACTCGCAACCTGCCCGCACCCGGACCCGTTGAGGAGCGACATTCAACAACTCCTAAAATAAATAAAAAGAACGAAACTAACTACGCCGCTGGTGAAGAACATTCGCACTCTCGCTTTCTTACACAATTCCACGTTGTGGTGTCGGCGTGCAACTCGCCTCCACGTTGTGGTGTCGGGCAGCATTCAAGCTAAGAGCCAACACGTCACCAACGCTGCAACACAACGCAGGGAAGAATGAACCACGACCAGCTCCCCGCCGCAACGGCTACGACGAGCCCGGCAGTGTTGCCGCAACCGGTGAAGGCAATGACGGCCTTCCACCTTTGGCGGAAGGACAACGAAGACCACTACCGCACGGCCAACCCCTGGGTTGGTGGCACAGAGCTCAGCGCTTTGCTCGCCCTCGGCTGGCGTCGACTCGACGCCACTACCAAGAAGGTGCTTGCCTCGCCCCCCCCCGCTTAGCCCTCGCCCCTTGATATTAATTGTTTATTGTTTTTAATATCTCTCGTGGGCGCAGAGATATGAGGAGCAGGCCGAAGCTGACCAGCAGCGTTTCGACCGCGAGTGGGCGTACTACAACGCTCGCCTCCAGAGGATGACCCACACCGAGCCCACTCCCATACAGCACTAACACCAACACCAAGCGAAGAGCTGGCACTCAAAGTGCTGGCTCACACCCACTCGAGCGAACTTGGAACCGCGCCGGGGCTGCCGTCAACGCCAACGCGTTCTGAGTGAGGGCCGCAACCGGGCGGGCTGAACGCGATCCTTGCCGTCTGAGGCGTGCACAACCCCCGACCAACCTCAATAAACTGTGATGACCAAGCAAGCCAGCTGTAGTGACTGGCTTAGCCCTCGTTCTACCAGGCCGAACTTAGTGTGCGGGACTCGATGGGTGTGACAGCACCCAATGAGCTCAACTTCAACTAGTGATGACAAGTTCAAAATCTGCGAGTTCTCTGCTGCAGCCACACCTGCCACCTGGTTGCAAGTGACAGGACGATGACAGACTTTCCTGGATGGCTGATGAAAGATACTCCTTGGTCTTGAGTGGGTTTAGGCCAGGTGCTGCACTTGCCTTCTTTGGAGCTGCTTAGAGGTATTTGGTTTTCTTAAGTTTCTGTCCGACCACAGGTTGGCCCGGCAGTGACTCCAGATCCCTGGCTGCTGGAACATGTGGTGGAATTGGAGTGCTCGCTGAACAGGGGATGAGTTTTACCGCCGTGTTGTCACGTGGTTCATCGCCAAGCTTGACACACGCCAAGACCACCTCATAACACATTCTTACTTTCATTCTTCATGCTCCACAACACATCACCATCACCATTTGATCATTGTCCCTTCACCACCAACGCCACCTTCTTACTTCCTCGCCTGATGCTTCGGCCGCCCTTCCATCAACTCGATTGGAGCCAACAACAACAGCCCCGTCATTCTCATCATCATTCTCATCCTCAACTCCTGCCCTGCCCAGCACAATTCCTCTACCAAAACCATCAACAACCTCAACCTGGCCTCAAGGCCAACAAGCCCGGCGGCGTTCGCCACCTGCCCAGCGACATCAAGAACATGCCCAGCGCCAGTGGCGACGTCCCTTCGTCGACCACCACCCCAACATCACCGCAGAGGCGAAGAACGAAGCGCATGTTCTCCGACAGGGCGTGCGGCAACTGCGGGACCCACTTCACAAGCCAATGGCGCACCGGTCCCTCGGGTCCCTCCACGTACACCCCCTCACCCTCTCCTCCATGACCGTCCGCGCAGCTTTGTTCCACATTCCTCCATTCTCGTCACACATGTCAAGTTCTTGGGCTGTTGTCGACGAGTTTTCTGTTACCATTTGTGGCTCCCAGCACCATTTCTGGGTTTGGGCTGCGACCTATCGGCGACCCGCACACCCTAACCGCCTTTGTTAAAAAAACGACACCGCTCCACACGCGCCCAGGTTGTGCAACGCATGTGGGATCCGGTACGCGCGCCAGACGAAGCTCGGCCAAAAGCGACAGGTGAGCCCGATGGACTCACCACAGCCCTCCTCGGACGAAGAGAAGCCACAGTCGCCGCGAGCACCTCTTTCGTCTCCCTTTCGCTCCAGCGTTCACTTCCTCCTCAACTAAAGGAAAAAGAAAAATAAAGAAAAATCAGTTTCCTTTGTGCAAAACTTCCTTCGACAAGCAGCGCAACCACCGCACCACGATGGAGTGGTTAGCCAACGCGCTTGGTATCGAGCCCATTCACTGGTCATGGCTTTCTCAAGTTGGCCTTCCGGATTCATGTTTTTAACAAAATCAAGTTCATTTTTATTTTTATACTTATTTTTATAAAGGTGGTGCAGGACTGCTCCAGAGCCAGGTGGTGGCCGGGGGGTTGGCGGTGCTGCTGCTTGGGTGGCTCTTTGCGCACGTGCGCACGGGTGCTGCGCTCATCGCCGACTACCTCACGCAGAAAGTCGTGGTCTCCGGTAGTCCATCGTTCCTCGCATGGCCGCCTTGCGCACACCACGCACCACGACACACCATTCACTCCGCCATTGCGCTCCCCTCTTCTCCCAGTTGAAGTGACCCAGCGCGAAGAGGCATTCGATTGGATTCTCCAATGGCTCGCCCAACAACCCAAGAGTTCCTTCGCCTCTCACAACTACAGGCATATGCTCTTCCTCTTGTCGGTGTGTGCGTCGCGTGTCGTGTCGTGCTAACACCACACGTGCGTTGCCTGTGTGTGTTGTGTGTGTGTGTGGTCACAGTTTGGTGGTCCATCAGAGCCTGGGTCCCATGCAGCGATTTCGTCGCCAACAAAAGCTCGAGGTCGTGTCCAAGTCGCCGCCTCAGCTCAAGTACGGGCAAGCTTGTCATAGTGTCGTGGTGCCTACACGGTAGTGACCGGGCCTGATGTGTGCATGCCCAGGTACCTGCCCGGGCAGGGCCTTCATTTGCTGTGGTGGCGCGGGAGCTTGATCTGGGTCACCAAGACCAGAAGGAGTCAGCCCGAACACGTCACCAACATGAATGGCCAGACACAAGTGGAGCCAGGTGTGTAGAAAGGCGCACCGCCACCGCCACCGCACACGACACGACAAACGATACGACACAACACGACACATACGCGCTCACACGACCCGTCTCACCATGACGCACAGGCGGAGTGCTGGTGCTGTCCACGCTGGGCCGCTCCCTCGAGCCGATCGACTCGCTGGTCAAAAGCGCCATGGAGGCTTCGCGCAGCAACGACCAGGGCTGTACGGTGATCTATAACGTTGACGTACGCTTCTCCCCCACCGAATCATGTCTCATGGTGATTAACATATGCTGCATTGTGTGTTATGCAATTGTAGGCCAGCTTCGGGGGATGGAAGCGGGCCATTACCAAACCCGAGCGCTCCGTCGAGTCGGTCATTCTCGACTCGGACGTGGCAGAGGAGTTGCTCCAGGGTAAGCCCATGATGACTTCTAGCCCAGCCCGCAGCCAGATGCACACTAACACGAATGCGATTGCTTGGTTCCCCCAGACGCCAAGGAGTTCCTGACGAGCGCCGATTGGTACACGACCCTCGGCATTCCCTATCGCAGGGCCTACCTGTTTCACGGCAAGCCAGGTAATAATCACCATCATTCATTATCTTCACTATCACTGTCATCACCAGCGTCATGACCATCATATGACCATCATTACCATCATTATCATCGTCATCGAGGCTGTCAGAAGATTGTTGAATATACTTCTTAACATGTGTTGGTGCAAACAATCGCAGGTTGCGGCAAGACGTCCTTCGTGGCGGCGATGGCCGCCAAGTTGGGCTTCTCCGTGTGCGTGCTCAATCTCAGCGAAAAGAACCTCAACGACTCCTCCTTGAACATGGTGCGTCGATTATGGTGGGCCATAACACGTTGACGAACTGACCGACCGACCGGCTGATGCCGGCATGCAGTGGCTGGTCGAGGCGCCCCAGAATTCGATCATCCTTCTGGAGGACGTCGACGTGGCTTTCCTCAACCAGGACAGGTCCAGCAAGAAGTCGGAGGGGAAGAGCGCCTACGAGGACCTATTCGGCCGACCCAGAACAGTCACCTTTTCTGGTATATTCGTGTGTCATTGTGTCGTGTGTCATTGTGTGCGCGCCACCGTGTGTCATTGTGTCGTGTGTCATTGTGTGTCGTGCGTAGTGTGCGTAGTGTGTAACTCACTGTCTTTTTGTAACCCAGGGTTGTTGAACGCCATTGATGGCATTGCCTCGCAGGAGGGCCGCCTTTTCGTGATGACCACCAACCACATGGAGCACCTGGACCCTGGTATGGTCCCATCTGACTTCCCAGTTTAATGGCCTTCCGGCTCACGCGACACGCGACGCGACACACGATACACGACACGATGCGCACACGCACACGCCAACAGCGCTGATACGTCCGGGACGCGTGGACAAGGTGGTCCACTTCGGGCTGGCCTCCATGCTACAGGTCGAGCGCATGTTCCTGCGGTACGTACCGTTTGCGCCCCTCCCCACAGCGACAGTACAATCCCCCACAGAGCTGTTGGTGAAGGCCCGTGTGTGCGGTGTGAACCTCAGGTTCTACCCGGGCGAGGAAGCGCTGGCCCGACAGTTTGCCCAACAGGTGGGCGAGGGCAAGGTCAGCATGGCCATGCTCCAGGTAGCCACATCGCACACGACACGACACACACCGCACACCACACCCCACACGACACTCACTGGTGAGTGGCGCAGGGCTACTTTATGGCGCACAAGAAGGATCCCCTGCGGGCCGCCGGCAGCGTGTCGGCGCTGCAGGAGCAGGTGGACAAGGAGGAGGAGGCCGAGCGGCGCAGGGAGCAGGCGGCCCGCCGGCGGCGCGAGGAGGAAGAGGAGGAGGAGCTGGACCGTGTGGAGCGCGAGCGCGAGGAAAGGGCGCGAAGGCGCCGAGAGCGCGAGGAGCGACGGCAGGCGCAAGCCGCGGAGTAAAGTGTAAAAAAAAACAATGCGCGGTGGAAGAGTCATAAGAAAAAGAATAATAACAGCGTTATCGATCGGTGACAAAGGTAAAAAACACAACCAATGGGCTTCTTTCGGACTTCGCCCTTTATTGTTTTACCCGAAGGTGTGACCAATACGACAGGCCCAAAGCAACAGGTGGATCAAGCGCATTACCAAAACCCCGACGACAAAGCACCGAATTGGGCGAGGATATAAACGACACGCTCTTGTGGTGTGCGCAAACTGCCCGGGGCTGCTCTCGTCGAATCTTCTCTTCACCGTTCTTGATTGGATCAGGCTGTGCCTGAGCTCATCTGCGAGCCTGCCATTGCGTAATTCGGTGGATCCGAATTTCCATCATCAGAACAATCGATTTCATTTTCTTCGTCAGTACATGCGGAACCGAAAATGATGAGACCTGCAGGCAAGGCTCAGCACCTGGGCTATGCTTTCGCGGTTCGGCTGAGGCGTCTGCTGAAGACGGCACGATCACGAGAGACGAGGCGATTCCTACAGGCATCAGCATTTTTCACAATCTTTCTCTACCTTGTCTTCCTTCTCATCTCCTTTCTCCTCTCGAGCGATGAACGAGAGGTCATCGACCCGCCCTTCGAAGCCATCATCAATTTCATGACCTACTCCGAGGTACGATGCGCCTTCTCTTTATAACATATTAATATGTAAATATTAATATGTAAATATTTACGTACCAATCAATCAGAGGTCCCATCGCATGATTGCCCCGATACTTATTATTTTTATTTTATATCTTAAAACAAATATCATCAACAGTGAACTTCACCCACTTCTTCCTGCGCACGTGCCTAGAAATATATATCTTATATAACATATACTGTTGTTACATATCATCATTCATTTATGTGCGCGCGATCGGGGCCGACACACCGCCACAGGACGACAAGCAAGAGCTCTACAAGGCGCTCGGGCCGCTCGTCACCTCCAAAAAGATGTCCTTCTCGCGCAACTACTTCGTCCCACGCGCCCCGCTCTTCAGCAACACCGGCCGACGCACCGACATCGCCACCTCCACCTCAGCCTCACCAGCCAACGCCAACGCCAACGCACCAACGACAACACCAACGGCAAGCGGCCGGCCGTGATGATCTTCGAGGCCTACGTGTGGGACGCGCAGATACTGAACGTCATCTCCGGCCCGGCGTTCGTCATCCCCTTCGAGATTCAGCAGATCCGCACCTCCAAGTCGGTGCTCAACTCCATCCTCGCCATGAAGCGGCAGAAGGAGCAGCTCCAGAAGGAGCGCCGGGAGCGCGAGGAAAAGGAGCGACAGCGCGCGGCCGCCGCCCAGGCCGCTGCGGTTGCGACGGCGGCGACGGCGACGGCGGTCGAAATATCGACTTTGCCGACGGCGACGACGACGACGATGGTGGACGTCGATGGGGTGTCGCGTCAGCAGGTGGACGACGTGTACGGGGTGGTGGAGGAGTACGATCAGCAGCAGCAGCAGCAGCTCATGCAGCAGCAGCCGGAAGAGGAGAAGCTGTCGGCGGAGCAGCAGCTGCTGGTGCAGCTCGCGAGCGACCACTCGCTGTGCGCCTCGCGCAGGGAACTGCGGAAGAGCGACAATTCGTCGATGGGACTCTACCACGACTACCAGGTTAGGCTTCACGACACGACACGACCAACGACACGACACGACACGACCAACGACACGACACGCACGACGCTTACACGCGGCTGCAGGAGATGACGGATTTGCTGAAGTCGATTGGGGAACGGAATCCCGATATCGCCAAGCTCCGCAGCATCGGACGATCTCTCAACGACCGGCACCTCTGGGTACGCGCGCCCGCCGCCGCCGCCGCCGCCACATTAATGTGTGCAGCGCGACTCACTTTTTGCCCCCCCCCTACGCGCGAGCAGGTGATGGAGATCTCCGACAATGTAGGCAACAACGAGCCTGGCGAACCCGACATCAAGGTACAGTAATATATATATAGTTTTTGATACAATATATCTATATAAATACAGATAAATTTATACATGTATATCTTGGACCTGTGTCTGATTGCTGTCGACAACCACAGTACATCGGCAACATGCACGGCGACGAGACTGTGGGTCGCGAGATACTGATCAGGCTCATCGTGCACCTCACCGACGAGTACCGGAACAACAACACGCGGTACCTCCTCCTCCTCCTCCCATCACACGACTGTGTGTTGTGTGTGTGTGTGTGTGTGTGTGTGTGTTGTTCACGCGTTGGCTCTTTCGTGTGTTTAGGGTGATCGATTTGGTGGACAACACGCGCATATTCATCATGCCCAGCATGAACCCCGACGGCTTCGAGCTCGGCATCCGCGGTAACGCCCGCGGTGTCGACCTCAACCGGTACCCCCATACCCCCATGCCGCGACACACACACGACACACACGACACACACACAACACAGGCGCTCACCGCACACACCGCACGCGCAGTGATTTTCCGGATCGATTCCGGGACACGAAGGGGAGTCTGTCGGGCCGTCAGCCGGAGACGGCGGCCATCATGCGGTGGTCCAACGACTACGACTTTGTTCTGTCGGCCAACATGCACGGCGGCTCCCTGGTCGCCAACTACCCCTGGGACGCCGACGGCAGGCACGTGTGCTGTGCGTGTGTGCGGTGTGTGCTGTGTGTGCGGTGGGGCGTGTGCGGTTGTGGTGACTAATGGTGTGTGTGCGGGAGCAGGTCCGAGTACGATATGCCGAGGTACTCTGCGGCGCCCGATGACAAGCTGTTCCGGCACCTGGCGACGACCTACGCCAACTCGCATACCACCATGCACAGCTCCATCGAATTCCCCAACGGAATCACCAATGGCGCGCATGTACGCGTTGCCTCCAGTTTCATCCACTTGCCTTTTCTTGTATGACCAACACGCGCGTGTCGTGCCGTGTGTGTCGTGCCGCGCCGTGCGTGTCGTGTCGTGTACAGTGGTATTTGCTGTATGGAGGGATGCAGGATTGGAACTACGCGTGGCACGGCGACTGCGATCTGACGCTGGAGCTGGGCGACGAGAAGTGTCCGCTCGACAGCCAACTCGAGCGCTACTGGACCGAAAACCAGGAGGCCCTCCTCACCTACATGGAACAGGTAACGCACACACCGCACACGCGCAATCGCACGCACCGCACACGACCGCACACGCCTGACTTTTGTCTTGCGCGCAGGTGCACAAGCTGGGCGTGCGCGGCTTCGTGCACGACGTGGTGGGGCGGCCGATCCGGGCCACGGTGCGGGTGGTGGGCCTGCCCAACATCACAGTCTACTCGGACGAGGACCACGGCGACTACTACCGCCTCCTCATGCCGGGCCACTACCAGGTCTGGGCCTACGCCAACGGCAAGCGCTCCGCCGTGCAGGACATCCACGTCCAGACCGGCCAAGTCACCCACCGTACGTGTGCGGTCGTGCGTGCGTGCGGTCGTGCGTGCGGTGTGTGCGCACGCGTGTCTGACTGGTTTGGCTCGCTGCAGTGAATTTGACGGTGTGGATCAAGGACGACGGGTCGCAGCCGCTGGTGCCGGACAAGGGCGGCGGCGGCGGCGGCGGTGGTACGACGCCGATTCCGGACAAGCAGCACAGCGAGGAGGACCCGACGCAGCTGATCCTGCTGTCGCTGGCCATCTTCACCGCCCTGTCGGTCGTCCTCTCGCTCGTGGTCTACGGCGCCTTCAAGTACAAGAAGAAGATCGCGGCCAGCATCAAATGCGGCCACATCTGGCACCGCCTCAAGGTACTCGTGTGTGTCATGTGTGCGGTGCGTGTCGTGCGGTGCAGTGCGTGCGACGAAGCTTGACGTCAACAACACAACACAGTTTACGGGGCGGCCGTTCCAGGACGAAGTGGAGCTGGTGGGCGTGGAGACCAACCGCCGATTTTCGCTGCTCAGCGATGACGAAGAGGACAACGGCGACAACACCCCCGATGACGACGATGAAGTGGCGGTGGACGACCGGTCCCTTACGGAACGATAGTCCACACTTTCTACACATACTCTTCACCCCCCCCCTTCACACCAATGTACAAACAAGCATTTTTCATTTTATTTATTTGAAACAAAAACGAACTTTATAAAGATAAAAGTCACCAATCGCCTCCTTAAGGTAACCGAGAGGCTGCACAAAGTGGTCAAAGATGATCATTGCTGCCTCCCAGGGCTGCCAGTGGTGATAGTGGTGCTCCCCCAGTGACGCGGTGGAGGTGAGTTCAGGTCAGCAACATCTCTGCGGCATCTCCACATGCATGGCAGAGGTGCCAACTGCTGCTAAGCGTTGGGTTAAGGGGGAGGTGTTCCACTTGCCAAGTAGGGCCTGCTTCCTATTTGAAGACCACATTCTTGGCTCTTTTCAGGCCACGCCAGGTAGCAGCCCAGTTCCGACCGATGTTGGACCGATCTGGCTGGGCGAATGGGCGAACAGTACCGGTGGCACTTTTTTCACTATTTTAGAAGCGCCAGGGCCAGAGAGTTCATTCTTCCCCTCGGACCAGCGCCATCACAACCTCAAGCCAAGCCCACCGATGTTCAACACAAGCACCACAACCACGACCACGACCACCACCACCGCAGCCGATCATGGTGGTCAGCTGCTCGCGCAGGTGTCGATGTTCGCGAATGCGGTGAGCAGGCTGACCCAGAAGAAGCATGCGCAGGGCGAGCTGACCAGGGGCGAGCAGGGCTTGCTCGAGGCCAACACGCACCTCCTACGCCAGAGGGTGCTCCAGCTGCACGGCCTGCCATTCCAGCCATTCCAGCAGCTGCCCATTACTACCACATCGAGCAGCCACCACATGACGGTGCCTCTCAAGAAGAGGCCGATGCTCAAGCAGACGGCGGCCAACGTGGACTCGGCAGCATCCCTGCAGCAACCATGTCCGTCGGCTGGCGGGGTGCCGCCGAGGCGACGAACGAAGCGCATGTTCGACAGGGCGTGTCAGCACTGCGGGACCCGCTTCACCAGCCAATGGCGCACCGGTCCCTCCGGTCCCTCCACGTACGCTACGGCCCCCCCCCCACCTCAACCTTGCGGTTCCAGCAGAAATTACAAGCATTTTTGATAAATTTCTACCTTCTTTCTTTCCTTTTTCATGGTTCATGGTTAACCAATGAGCAGCGGGTATTTTTTTACCATCTATGTTCATTTTCTATTTTTCGGCGGTAATGTAACTGCCCGCCGGTAAAACTGATCGTGTCGTGTAGTCGACTGACATTCCTCCCACCTCTTTCTGCAGATTGTGCAACGCTTGCGGCATTAGATACGCTAGGCAGGTCAAGCTCGACCGAGCGCGGCTGCAGGCCTCACCGTCTCACACACCACCAACGGTGGCGGGTGATGAGTCACCCGTGACCGCGGCGTCGCCCCCGCAATCGTCGCCCCCGCCCCGAGCAAGCGTTCACTTCCTTCTCAACTGAACAACACCCAACACATCACTCATCATGTAACAGTTGTTTCCAATGTACACAACAAGCCACAACAAGCCACAACAAACCATCAGCTTTGTCATCAACGTTGCCAGGCAACTTTTATTGTTCGTTGTTCGTGGGCTGCTCGAGGGCGACGGGCTTGAGCGCAAGCACCTCCTTCTTCCAACTCATGCCACGCCCGAACGGATCCGTCGGACTCACCTCCCGCAGCGGCAAACCCTGCGCGTGATGATGGCTTCACGTTAGCCAAATATAAATATAAATAAAATAAATACAATAAAAAGCAAATTTCAATGAATAAGCAAAAAGAAATAAGAAATAATTGAAGATGCGAGGTCGTACAAAGTTGACGTGGAGAAGGCCAGGCGTGAGATAGATTCGGCTGTCCTGGTAGTTCTTGAGGATGTACGCCACGATCTCCTCCTTTTCCGTCCGCCTCTTCTCCTTTCGCTCTGGGTCTTCGCTTTCGCTTTCGCTTTTGCCTCCGCTTTCGTTCTTTTGCGTTAGGTCCGGAGCGACCGTCGGTTCGCTGCCGCCCACGGCCGCTGGCGACGGCGACGGCGAGGGCGAGGGCGCGCGGAGGAGGTCCAGGTATTTGGAGTAGCCAAAGTAGCAGAGCACATCGCGCGTGAGCTTCAAGATGAACGACTTCTGCTCCTCGGAGAAGTGCGCCAGCGAGTGGTCCACCTTGCCCTTCCTCGGCTTGTACGCCTGATGACTGCACATACACACCCTTAGCATACGACGACACACGACGACACACGACGACACACCGACACACACGACACACACGACACACACGACACACACGACACACACGACACACACGACACACACGACACACACGACACACACAATCGCACCTTTGTGTGAGTTCGTGGGTGGCGAGGGCTTGGATGCGCTCGTCGTAGACGGTGCCCTTGAGCGACTTGAGGTCGTAGAGGAAGCAGATGAGGCCCCGCATGGTGTGCCACCGGCGGGTCATGAGGTCCTCGTAGCGCACCACCTTGAGCGGTACGCCGCTGCTGCGCGCCACGAAGAGGTAGTACTCGTAGAACTTGGTCCACACCTGAATCTCGCGTCGCACCAGCTGGTCCCACTCGCGCTGCAGCCGCTCGTACTCGCTCTCGTCCAGGCTCTTCGTGTGCGATGACGTCAGCACCTGCGTTAACATTGCCACGACGGTTAAGGTGGTGGTGATCCTTAAGGTGGCAATTGCTCCTGCTTAAGGTGGCGATTGCGAGCGGTACCATGTTAAAGTAGGAGTCGAGCGTGTCGAAGGGGTTGCGGACGAGGAGAATGATCTTCTTCACCTTGTACCGCTTGTACCCGAATCGCTCTGGAAAAGTGCGTCTTCACGATCCACACCTGATCGATGATGACGCCCCCAACGGTGTAGCGTCAGATAAATGTAAAAGTTGCCTGTTGTGTGTGTCGTGTGGTCGTGTGTGCGGTGATGCGTGTGCGGTGGTGTGCGCAGCGCACCTGGGAGAGGTCGACAACGCCCTCGCCCAGAAGGCCATAGTCCAACAGCTCTCGGCTCAGCTTGCGGTCCGGTCGTGTATCGCTATGAATAATATTAA